CCTGAGGCCTCAGTACCTTTAGTCAGCTGCATGCCCTGAAGGAAGGCTGCTCTGCATACAATGCTTCAGCTCAGTGGAGAGAAACTGTTATTTTTCATATATGTAAGTCAAATGTGACTGGTGGCATACATTTTAATGAGACACCATTGAGGCTTCATCTCTGCCAGAGCAGCTGGACTTCTCAGCTAGCTGAGTTAAAACAGGAAGAAAAGAGGGGAAAATGCTAATGCACAAATGGAAGTAAGCAACTTGGTTTTCATTAAAAATGAAGTACTGCTGTAGTGCCTAAATTCCGTGCTTCTCCCTCCCGCATTATTCCCATTTTCTGCTCCACCCTTTACTCCCTGCTCGCATGCAATTGCAGTGCTCCCTATGGGTCTAGGAGAGTGAAAGTGCTTCTTTGGAAGACAGCCAACATTGTTAGTCTGGCTGGCTAATGGAGCCCTATATATAGTGGGTTGCTACTCCACTTTCTTCTGAAGCTAACTTAGGGTAGTGTTTCCAGGCAGAACAGTTTCTCAGAGTGCTCTGCCTATTGTGCCTATGGAGAGATGGAAGAAAAAATGGTGTACTGTAGTTTTCAAAGCACAGGAATGTTTATTACAGAAACAGTTCACCCCAAAATGTATAAAACTTAAATCTTTTAAAAGTGCAAAGTGACCCATATGCCAACAGGTCATAATTTTTTATTTTAAATCTATATATTTTCTGTAACAAGAAATCCACCTATGGGAGTCAAAAAGGTCACAGAATCTTGACGTTTTCAATAAGCCATTTCTACCTTAAGTTTTTTCTGCATTTAGCAAGAGAAAGGCAACGTTGTTCATGGAAGGACTTAAGACATATCCATTCCCCACACTCAGGGGAAAAAAAGTTGTCTTCTGCATGCCCATTTTTCACGGGGTTTTTGTTCCCTGTTCATATAAGGAACGTGTGGAACAAGGAACATCTCCTTTGTTTTTCTTAGAAGTATTTGGGCTTTGTTCTTTTTTTTTTTCCTAAGGAACTGCAATCATTCTTCTTTAAGAACATATTTTCTTCTTCCAAGAGTTTTCTGCCCTTTCCTTTCCCCCTTATTGTGTTACATGCAAGTGGCACTGTGAGTCATGGTCAGCTCTGGGGCTATGGATTTAATTCTGCTACAGTGTCTGAAGTTCCCTTTCAATATTTAGGCTCTAGGGCTTAGATCCTTAGCATGTTTTTGGTATGAAGGAAACTTCAAACCTGTTTATGGACCACCCTGAAGGTACAGTAAGATCCAGGCTCTGTTTTTGAGTTGTGGAGAGCTTGGTGGAGAATGGAGGCTGTTGCTGATCAAGGCCTGAGGAAAAGGGTCCTTAGTCTTAAAGATGCCACTGTGGGACTTGGGAGGAAGAAGTTATGTTGCATAATTCCTGTGACTCTGTTGGACAAATAAACTGCTTGTCTATAGCAAAGCCTCCCCACTTGAAAAAGTGGAAGTATTTCCCTGTCTCAAAGAGATGATACAAGGGTGTATACATTGAAGGCTGTGAGGGGTAGTGATAGTGCAGTGCTTGAGACCATATGAAATATTCAAACTGAGAAGCGTAGAATGATTTGAATTTAAAAATGACAACAGGCAGCACAGATGCGAGCGAGCTGTGGTAGCGTAGCCATGGCTTTTGTGTTGGAGGGATTAGTCTTGCCATCCAATACTGCTTTCGGTATAAACATGAGAACAAATAATACCCTTGCTTTGAGAAGTGTAGCAGAACTGGTTGGTTGCAGAAGAATGTGTTATCTTCATTCTAAGCAAAACTTTGAGAAATGCTCTACTGGTAGTACGTGGTGCACACAGTTAGAATAGAGCTTTGCTGGAGTTGGAGTGGTTAATAACTCAGCACTGAACAGTGAGGCCAAGTTATGAAGAGTTTAATGTTTCAAGATTGCTGCATGCACTTGCTGAAGTAAATTAATTTTTCATTTAATCAGCTCAAAATCTGCCTAATAACAGCAAGAGGATTGTATCAGCATTTGGTTATTGTTAACAGTATCGAAGATAAATGTTATTCTTGGGGTCAGTAGACTTCCCACAAATGGAGGTTTGGAAGGCCATATCCAGACTGTCTGGGGACATTTTATGAGATATGACAAAATAGTCTAAGCCTTCAGTGTGTTAAACTAAATGAATAAAAGTTAAGACCACTGCAGAGGGAGAATTTCTCTGGTTTTGTTCATATACTGAATTAAGCTAGTGAGCAATTTAAAAGCTTAGATCAGCCTGGGCACAAAGACAAGAGACAGCTTAGATTTTGACATAGCAGTCCCATTTAGACATCATCTCCTGGGTGATGATGTATGTGGTGTCATTCATGGTGATTTGAAATCTGCAGTAAAACACTGTCTATTGCAATAACTGCCAAACTTATTTTAAGGTAACAAATTGCTTGGGATAGTTTTACTGAGATTTATTTAGCCTAACTTGTTCTGAAGAAATATGAAATAGTGCAGAGACAAAAAATTATATGTCTATGTTTCTTTCAGAGATGAGAAATGTATTGCTGGTTTTACCCCTATCAATTCCTCCTCTTAAAAACTTGAATTCTTATTGAGCCTGTGCCATGGTACATAGTTTGGGAAATGTAATTCTTCCTAGCAAGAATTGTTTTCATAGTGTGAAGAAAAGTTAAAAGCATTCTGAGGACTGAAAAAGGCATTGCGTAAAGTCAAAATTTGACACTTCAGTAAGAATGTTTCAGCCAAGCCAAAATAAAGCAACACTTAGCTGGAAACCATATGGTCTAGGGTAAGGGATTCTGTGATAGGCTTTCACCCCCCAGAAAAGTTCTGTGGCACTTTCCAGGGGAAGATGTCTGTATTCTGGGATAGAGTTAACGAAGCAGCTAAATTGCAGCTACATTTGCAAGTAAGGTAAGCTGAGGGACTGTGAAACAGCGACACCACAGCAATTACTGCTTCCCGGCCTCAGGAGGTGCTGTGTTAACTCCAGTGCATATGACGGGCCATGCACTGGGAAAGTCTTTGCAAATTTTCACATTGTTCAAGAGGTCAGAATGTCTACGCACTGTGAGGAATCAGTGAGACTTTTATGTTTCAAAGTAAGGTTTGTTACATGCTTAATCACCGTCTCACCCAGGATAACATACGTGTTGCTATGTGTGCTTCCAATCCTTTCTTTGTCTGGTATGTTCCAAGCTTTTAAATGAATCTGTGCAGTGACTATTTTCACTGTTTAATCTTTACTTTTAACTACTTAGAACATCCATTGGGTTAATGTGCAAAACTTGAAGATTAGTAGTGACAAATAGTTGTTTAATTGGAAATTTAATATTGTGATTTGGAATAGATACATTTTGGGGGAATATGAAAATATGATGCCAGAACCAGGCTTTAGAAACATAGTGCCTCTTTATGACTTTTATATATTTGTATAATTTCTTATTACAGATCCACAATAACTTTTCAACTGAATAGTGTGCTTCTTCCAGAGATCTTCTCCAGTGCTTGCAGTGCAGCAGGGGGGCTGTGTTCTAGCTGTGTTGTCCTTCCCATTGTTTGGAAGGTTGATGGCAGACTGAAAACTGCTGCCATTTGTGAGCCAGCCCAGCCCACCAGGTACTTTTGAAGAGCTGCAGCTTGTGCTTTGTGGCCATGCTGAAAGCATTTAGCTGAGAACTGATGAGCTGATGCTCTATGTGCTGCTCAGAATATAGCCCTTGAGTGGCTCAGCTGCCCCTGTGCTATAACAGCAACTTGTTGATGTTAGAAAACCACCAGCAATAAAATGTGAGAAATTTGAGTTAAAAATACAGTGAAAGACTCTTCACACTGGTCATTCTGGCATTAGATATACCTGCCTTGTGGAAAAGACAAGGGTAAAATTTGTGCACTGGCAAGTCTGATGTGCTTGCACATCCTTATGACTGTGTTCTCCATTCGGACTGGTTTCCATCTTTGTAAAAGAGACTCTCATGTGGTGAGAAAAGAAAGAAAGGAACAGTAAGGAAAAGGATGCCTATTAGTCTTTCAGTCAGTTCTGGCTTAGTCTTTAGTTACTACTTTCAAGTTTAGCTCTGTGAGTATAGACTTAAGCTAAAGCTCCACCCAACAGCAAATGGTGCTGGTCAGACCTATAGGTAACTTGGTCTCCCAGCAAAGTTAAAAAGCAAATGAACAGTCAAGAGCACACAATAAAAAGTATAGTAATTCTTTTGTGTTCTAATAAACGTCATTCTGATTCATTGATGTGCTGTCTATTGGCAGCAATTACTGAGCTGATTTTATTAGATATTAACTTTGTCAGTGTACTTTAAATAAAAAATATTTGAGGTCTAAACTGTCAGGTGCTAGGGGATAGGAGGAGGGTTGTGCTGCTGTGCCAAGCTTGCACAGGAGCCAGGACACCTGCATGTCCTGCAATATATGAGAAGGGTAGAAGTGAACACACAATTTTACAGCTTGTAATGCCATAGGCAGATCTCCTAAAATGTATCCATGTTGGTAAAAGCATTGGAAATTTAAATGAAGTTCTTTAATTGACTTGGCTGTGGTTCCTGTTACGTGGCTTTTTGAGTTTATTTTTCTGTTTGGGGGTTTGTTTGGTTTCTCTTTTTCCCAAGGCTGCTGTTCTGGAAACACTGGTGCATGGTGGTGAGATGGGACCAATGACAGGACATGCAGGAGAGCAGCTGCAGTAATGGGGTGTCCCTAACCTAACCTGGCCTGTCCTTTCCTGCAGGCTGGCTCATTCCTAGTAGTGCAGCAGTTGGTACATTCAGGACAAAAGCATCTTGGAAGATGCTGACGAAGATCCATATTTGCAGATAGGAGCATGGTTGCCAGTCTTAGAAAAACTGAGAACTCTGGAGAAAGCAAAAGTTTCTGTGCTTTTGATTAGAGGAAATGGAAATAAGGAGCTGAAGAAATGAGACGCAATGCATTATGTATCTCCCCTCCCCTCCTCTTTGCTTCTTTCTGGAGGACCGTTTGACTCCAGCTCTGCCATGGCAGGCAGACAATGGCATTAGCTAATTTGGCTCCATGTAGTGCTGAACATGAATATGAATTAGAGACAAGTGCCTGAGCTCTCATACTGACTTTTGTTTAGCTGTTAATTTGTTCCAGTGTTAATGTGCCACATGCACATAAGCCTAATTAGGTTAGAAAATGCTGCTTTTCTTTTCATGGCTTCTAAAGATTGAAGCTTTGTTTTATTTTGTAAGCTATTTTATTCTAGTTTCTTTTGCTCAAAATAATAAAGAGGAGGTATAAACACATCCAGGGTTTTCAGTTCAGTGGAACACTGCACTGTGACCTTCTGACTCTTAAATTAAAAGTGAGAAATTACTCCAATAAGAGTCTTATCTTGATATTTGCATTTAGTAGTACCATGATTAACAACTGCACTGGATGTGAGTGTTGACATTTCTTTAAGATTTCACTTTACATAAGTGTGTTTACAGCCAGAATAACTCTTAGTCTGGAATGGGGATTTTTATTTCTGCTTTCCATGGGTATTTTGTAGAGCTTAGCTTCTGAGCTCCTTTTCAGATGCTATATTATTATGCACTATTGATCAGCATTGATGGTCCTGCTACTCCACAAAACTAAGGACGATGTTCACCTAACACCACAGAGCTTAGAAGCTAAACTTTGTATACAGATGATGCACTTGCTAAAGAAATGTTCAGAAAGTGGGGAAACTGAGGTGGAAATATATTGCATTCTGTGGGCATTAGCTTAACATTTTAACCTTTTAAATATTTTATTTGCAGAGGTTTTGCTTCCTGATATAGGGGTTCACATCAGTTACTTTGTTCAGAAAGAAGTCTGAGAGTCAGCTTTTGGATGTTGGTTTAGAGCCCAGTGAAATTCAGTGACTTGAATATTATCTCATATTTTGAAACTGCTACCTAAATGGACCTACTAGATCTTCCAAAGCTCAGCCATCATTTCTGTCTAGTTTGGGGTAGAGTATAAAAATCCATGTACATTGCATTAAATTTTGTTAAAGTAGGAAAGTGTGTGTGTGTCTTCTGAAGCTGAAATTATGAAACAGAAAAATTTGGTGGTACTAGCATCCATTACTCACAAAAGCCACTAAGTGGAACAGCACATTTAAAAGCCAACCTCCTGACTCTGCAATAGATAAAGAGAAATTATTTTACTTGTGTTGAGAGAAAATAGAATGCTGGATGATCATTAGTTTCTTGAGTAGGAGTTCAGTTCCTGCTAAACTACAAAAGTAATGAAAAATGAAGTTTCAAGTTTAAATTTTCCTATCTAAGTGGTGTTATTTTATTTAGAGTCATTTTATTTAGGCTCAGAAATGAGCTGTTCTGGGAACTCTCCCACAGAGGTGATATAGTTCCAATGACTGATGAAGAGTAAACTGAAGTGGCAATACTCTGGGAAGGCCAGAGGGTATTGTAAATGGTCCATCACACTGAGTGTTTGGTTTTCACTATGTTCACCCCACCATAATGTTGTAAATGTTGAAAGACAGGGTAAGCCAGAGTTTCAGGCAGCAGCCAAGCCTCACATGGCTGGTTGATTAATTGCTAACATGTTATTACACATCAAAACGTTAGGGAATTAACGAGATTAGTGACATATAAGCAACAAAGTTTTGGCATGAGCTGTTTTATAACCACTTACCGTGTCCTATAGAGAGCATTGAAATTATGTCAATACTGGTTTTACCTATTTGAAGTCTATTAAAATGTTTAGGCAAGGAGTAAAATTTTCAGAGGGAGTGAAATCTTCTTCCCTTTTACCAGGACATACATAAGCTCCTAACTCACTGTCTGAGTCTGACAAATTTTGCCAGCTGCAGAAATGACATAAGTAAATACTTTAGATTTGATTGAAATTCAGGTGTGCCTGTCACATATGATTCTGCTCTCATCTCTAGGTAACACATCTTAGCATAATGGTGGATTTGTCTGGTTTTCCCTTTAGTTCAATTTCTGAGGAAATGTGCATTTTTCCATTAAAAGGGAAATATTTTTAATATTAAAAGTGAATAATGGATATCAGTTTATGAATATTTATGATCTTTACTGATTTTTATAACCAAACTCCACCTAAATCATTTTTGAGTTTCTGAAATATATGTCTATTTCCAGTTCAGGTTAAATTTCTTTATATTAGCTAGATGAAATGGTAACAGCAGCTGGTGAAGCCATAATATTTTATCCAATGATGCCTGTGTCACATTTAATGCCAATTATTATATCTTAAGAGATTCACTTACATGTAATTTTATCTACAACCATCTTATGCTTCCCTGGCTTTTAAATTCAGTATCACTGAGCAGAATTCTAGGTTTTTACATCAGTGTCTTTCAATGGTTAAAATATTTCTAAAAAAGGTGGGAAAAAAAATCCCTCAACAGAATGAAAAATATTTCAGATAGGGGGTTTGGATGATGTCCAGTTTCTACATTAAAAATGCTTTCCAACACCAGACGAAGCCTGAATCATAACGACTCATTTAGTACCATGTGCTCTTAGAAAAGCAAATGAGATCAGTAGTGAAATGAAATGCCCACAGATCCTGGGCATGGTGCACAAGATCAATAGAGATGATAATGCAGAGAGGTGGGAGGACACTAAACTGGTCTGTTATTTAAGATTTATTTTGTCTTCCTGAATCTTTCAGAGTGCTCTATGGAAACAAGATCACAGAGATTCCCCAGGGCCTTTTTGATGATCTTGTGTCTCTGCAGCTGCTGTGAGTATGATCCCTTCCTCTTTATTTTACAGCCTAGCTTGATTTACTGTTTTTTCAGCTTCTGACATTATTATAATCACCTTTTCCACTGAAAACTCACTGGGATGTGCTAGGCAGTTGTTTCTCTGTCAGGCAAGACAGAGGCAAGGGCTGAAATAAGAAAGGAAGGTGCCAACAGTTTTATAGCACAGTGTGTATAATGGATAATAGACACGGAGGATTTAAGTGTGGGGAGGAAATGAAGACTTGGTGAAGTCCAAGAAAGGAAATTGGGTCACTGACTGATGTGCAGATGGGGATGTCATCTGATTGTTTTTACACCTTTAGCATTTGTGGTTGAGTAGATCCTTGAGGGCTACTGTGTCACAAGAATATGCAAGCAACATGGCAATAGGGCTTTGCTGCAAGAGAAATGATTTCAAACAATATATTGTTTGAGTATTTTATGCCATGTGTGATTTAACACACAGTCATGAGCAGGGTAAGATGTATACCATACACTCTTCAGTATTTATTAATGTAGCATAACAAATTTCCTAACCCAAATGTGAAATTGCAAATTTCACCCACTCTTGTCTCCATAATCACATTGGGAATGAGTAGCTCCTTCAAAGAGAGAGAAATCAGCTACCATTTCAGCCAGTCAATAGAAGGAGCAGAAGTGTGGTTAATATGCGTATTGCTAACATTCTGATTACCATGATGGATGATGCACTCAGAAAGTAAAGGTGATATATGATAAATTCATCAATTCTGGTTTATATTGCACACTACCGTCCACCCTCAAACAATAACTTACATGAAGTAACTTTTAGACATGATATTTTAAGCCTTTCTTACCATGTTGACATAATCAGAAATGAATATCCAAAAGTTCATGATTCCCATTGCATGTATTGCTCTATGCTAGCAGTCTTTGCTGCACTTACATGCTATCTAAAAATAAGCATAGATTTATATTAGAAATCCATGAGCAACACCAAAGAACTGAAGTCTGGAATAGCTGCTCTATACATTAAGTGAAGGACTGCTCAGACATGTCTTCACCTTTTGCCCATATTTTTTCTGGCAGCTCTTTTCCTCTCCCTGTCCCACCCCTCACCAGTTGGTTGTATTTCAGTGTCTGTGGCCAGCCTGTACAGTAAATGCACACTGTGTGTTTAGGGGGGAAGTACTTTACCTTGTGTGAGAACAATAAGCTTGAAAGTGCTTCAAAGCTGGGGCTCGGTACATGTTGATATAACTGGCCTGTCAGGCTCAGGTTGTACTCAGTACAGTGAAGATGCTGCAACCAAAAGGAGACCTAAATTTAACTTGTCACTTTGACCTCTGAGAAAGAAAATATATTAGAAAAATCTGAGCTTTGTTATAGTCTTCACCCCCAAATATTTAATGGTTGCAAGTTCAAAGCAATACACAGTTGCTCTGTCTAACCCAGGACACTTAACAGGACCTTTCCCAGTAGGAAAAAAGAAACATACACAAGACATGGCTCATGGTGTCCTATAAAAATGTGGGTCTAGAACTTCTGCATAAAGCATTAAGCCAGTTTCAACTTCTTTATACTATAGTCTTTGCATGCATGTAGTGCTGGCTGTCAGTGAAGTACGTGTTTAAGCCAAGATGCAGTCATTTTCCAATCTGAATTAGCAAAATCTGTATGCCAGAGAGCCATTAAAAGGTGTTGTACTTCAACCTTTTAAACATTCTCAAGCTGAGACTATGAAGATGTAAGTAGGTTGTCCATTATGGGATTCCCAGAGTATTGTGGCTCTGGAACCTTTCCGGGTCTGCTTGAAAGTGTTTAAATCTAAAGTAGCTTTTGGCAAGGAAAGCATTGAATGATCATGCTTTAAATGCAAACAAATCTCTGCACACGTTTCCAACGGTGGCTTTGAAGCAGCTATTATGGATTGCTTGTAGCATTTTAATGGATACCAGAAAAAATAAATGGCATTCGTTGGTTTTAGACCTGCTGTTGAACAGTTGGAAGAGTGCCCTATGATTAGATCTAATTTAGTGTTCAGTGGACTCTAGATTGGATTTCTTCTTATTAGTCTGGAGACACACTGATAAGAATGCTCTGATTAAGGTACCCTGGTAGCCAGTCTAATTTCCTAAGCTGAAGCATTTCTGAAAATGCACTGGTGTTATGGTAAAGCAGGACACAATCAGCAAAGGGATCATTGTGGGTCCTCTGTAAAATCGTTCAGATTGTATTTAGAAGGAAAAAGTAATTATTAAGACATTGCAGAGCAGGTAATATTGTTATTTACTGGTTTGGATAAGACTCATCAGAGTTTCTCAGAAATGTCATTTTCCTTCTGTTTAAATATCATGTTAGAGTATAGATCCAGGTTATTTCACTTTTATTCTGGCAGAATTGGCTTGTGTAAGTGCCTAACATCTGCAGACAGTACCACTGATGTCAGAAACACTGCAGCTAGGTAAAGTAATGCTCAGCTCAGGCATGACAGCATCTTCAGCTGCCCCATTTGGGTTTGGTTTCTGAGAAATGCAGAAATCAGAGCAAGTTTTAGCCCACCTGGCTAGCATTCGAATTCTGTATTTCTGTCATGTAAGGCAGAGGTGGGTAAGCCAATATTTGGCAAGAAACTAGCCAGGAATGGTTAGATAATGAGTTCTTTTGGTGGTCGCTGTTTATGTTGGTTTGTTGGGGTTTTTGATCCCCATGGGTTTAATGTAAAATGTTGCTTCTGAAGTCTTCATTACAGTTAGCTATCTTAAGTAGTTAATGGTCCTCACATAAATAGTTACAATTGGATTTCTGTTAATTTCCTGATTTCACAGATCTTATGTCTTCCTATGTATGCAATTGTAACCAGCACAGCAGCAAGCATTGTTACAGAAGTCCAACTATACATCTGTTCTGGGGAACAGCAGCTTAGATACAAGGAAGAAGTTCTTTACTGTGAGGGTGGTGAGGCACAGGAACAGGTTGCCCAAGGAAGTTTTGGCAGTGTTCAAGGCCAGGTTGGATTGAGTCTTGGGTGACATGGTTTAGTGTGTGGTGTCCCTGCCCATGGCAGGGGGGTTGGAACTAGATGATCTTAAGGTCCTTTCCGGCCCTGACTATTCTATGATTCTATTGTCATTCTCCTTATCCTGTTTGAAGTTGCCAGGAGGGAGGATGCTAGGAAGCTACTGTAGCTGCTCTACCCCAGCCTCGTACATTCTTCTGTTTGGCAGGTTGGATCTGAGAATTTCAGGTCTATTTGGAGTTTAGAGAACTACACTGTTTTCCAGAAAGGGATAACTGGAGTCTGATTTTGGTTTGGGGTTTTTTTACAGTAAACTGAAACTCATTTCACTGGGGCAACAATCCATCTGAGATGTGAAATAATATTTGATTCATCATCATTATGTGTGTAACTGGCATTTAAATATCAAAAGAATGAAAAGGGTTCCAGTGTAAGGTGGAAGTTTTCAAGTAACCATTAGATGTGTCCAGTTTTAACTCCTGCCCAGGAGGCCTTTGGCTAACGTTGGTCTGCCTAGAAACTGGACTACATTTAAAAGTCCTTCTCGCCTGTCTTTCAGTTTTCCTGGAATGTGGACAAGCTCTTTCAGGAGCCCTCAAGTTTGCCAAACCTCTGCCAGTCATTGCACCGGGGAGACCACATCACACTGTGTAGCTCCCTCTTTCTCAGCAGCCCTGTGACAGAAAAAGCTGACGGGTGCTCTGCTTGCTCCCAGATGAGCAAATGTGCAGAGCCAGCCTGCAGTGAAACAGGAGTCAAGTGGTTCAGAACAGTGGATAATGGGCACTAAGTTGGTTAACCAGGGTTTTTCATATCTAAGTACTACACCTTCCTCTCTGCAAGCATATTAAACATTCTGGAAGCCTTTTTATTATGCTTATACACTATATGCTTTGCAGTGATCTATTTCCTGGAACAAGAAAGTATCATAAAATCTCTACTGTTTAAAGAGATTGTATAGCAAAATAATACAGGGGGATGAAACCTCATTTTTCTGAAGTCTGGCAAGTATCAGTTTTCAATAAATCCTTTTCCTTGAGGAAATTTACTTTGCATAGTTACTAATCATACAAGTGCCCAGGTATGTTGATTCTAAATCTTATGGTTGAGATGCCTTGGCTTGCTGGGCAGGAAAGAATCCCCATAGTGGACTCTGTTTTGATGTTGCTAGAAGTAGATAAACTCCTAGATTACATATATATTAAAATCAGAGGTTTGTTGTATTCCTCTTTCGTAAAACAAAGCCAAAGCTTACAGCCTTCTCCTCTTTTTCCTAATGTCTGATCATTAGGGAAAACTCAACAGTATAGTTGGAAAAGACCAATAATCATATTAGTGCCTGAAGTTTGACATGTTGACAGGTAAAGTAACTTTAAAAGTGGTGAAAAATTAGACTTCCAAATCCAAGCATCTAACCTGGGTTAAAATTGGAACTAGATCTAATATTTACAACTCCAGCTGACGTTTGTTTAAAATAGACTAATATGAAGTGGCAAGTCATGGATATACTGTCAGGAACTGCTATTACCAGTCTTCCCAAAATTAAACCAGTGAAATTTTGCTTTGAGCAGTTCTTTTTAACCTGCTTTTTAGGCTGTTTCTCCTTGGATGAACAGCAAGATACTTGGTACTCCCATAGCTCTTCTGGAGAGGTTGCTTGGAAAATGTCTCCATGGCAAATTTGTCAAGTTTGAAGTGCTTGTGTTGCATCATAATTGTGAGTTGAATCCCAGTACTTAAGAGCTTAAAATAGAATCTACCAGTTATTAATTGTATACTTTTGGAGCTTGTTAGAAGCTCAAAGAAAATCCCATGAAGCACAAGCTCATACAAAGTATATTTAAAGAAAAAAAGAAACACAAAATTACTGTAAGGAATGTTTTGTATTGTTTACATTACACTGTTAGATACATAAACATCATTAAACAGTGATGCACCATTAAACATTAAACAGTATATAAATGTCAGAATAAAGAAATTACAGTTTTCCATTTCCAA